TGCAGCTCCCGAGCACCGCATGTGCAAACAGACTTCCAGGGCACACGGGGCAAAGATGCGGCCCGCACAAAAGCGGTTTAGAAGCAGCAGCAAACACGCACACCAACAGGTCGGGGAGAGTCTCCAGCCCGCGGAAGCACAGAGCGGGCGCTGAAGCGAGGCGGTGGGGCGTCACGGCGCCTTCCCATCGCATTCAGCAGCCTGTTCACGAGGGCGCTCCGGTGGCGGCGAGACTCGTTAGATCTGGAGCCCCGAGACAGCTCACACTCCCGTGAGGGGCAGCACCCAGATGAGCCCTGTCTGGCTAGCTCTGAGTCTGAAGGGGACACCCTGGCCCAGCGGGCAGCGAGAGTGGGTGTGGCCGGCCCTGCGGGTGGGCCGGGAGGGTGTGCAGGACGCTCCTCAGGCACTCCAGGTCTCCAGGCCACACATGGGGTCCAGTCCAACACTGACGTAGGCTTTCCTTAGACCATGCGGACAGGCACAGGACCTGGGGACATCGCTGTCCTGCCCTGGTGGGTCAGCCCCCTGAGCAGGCAGGACAGAACGAAGGAGGGGGCCCTGAGGGAGTGCTCCCTGTCCTGACAGGCACGTGCTGCCAGAGAGCCATGTTCCAGGCTGGACCTTCACTCCTGCCCATCAGTGCTCCCTGTCCCTGCAGCTGGCATCCTATTGGCAGGGCCTCCTGGTGGCCTCGAGGCCCATTCCGACGTGCACACCAGCCCTGGAGCAGCCCTGTCCCAGTCTGGCTTTGTCTGCTGGGTGTGAGCAGAGCTGGCGGGTCCCTCGGGTCTCAGGGCAAGCCCAGGTATGAACACATCTTCTTCCCTTAGAAGAAAACTGCGGGGGTCCAGCCTCGGCGTGGGTGGGTTATCTCGACGGAGGCGGCGAAGGTGAACAGAAGACAAAGGCCTCGATGCCTTTTCACGCACGTCCTATGCTGGACACCCCTCAAAGATCGCTCTCTGGGGAGTGACAACTGCTAGGAATCATCGTGCCTTTTTATTGAAAATGTGATACATGCAAGTAAATGGGTGAGGGGCAGTAAAAGA